GATTTCCAAATAAATTTCTATATTAACACTCAATATAAGATTTCCAAACAGACGTCTCTATTAATATCTAATACAAGATTTCCAAGCAAATCCCTACTACAGAATGTCAAACTTTCTACACCTACATCTACCGAAAATAATCTAGGAAAACCAAACCACAGTCACCAAGTGCATTATCACGACACTCAAAGTTTGTCAACCGTAACGAGAACATAGAGATTAATTGCACCCTCAAAACAGTGACAGTCGCCGGGATTGATCGTCAGATAATCGCGGGAGAACGGGAAAGCGTCGCGTCGCGTCGCGTCGTGTCGCGTCGCGCGTTCCGGCCCGTCGACCGTTCAATAATTCATATTCAATCGTTCGATAGCAGCTGGCCCTGCGGGGGATCCAATAATTCAGCCTCTATCTCGTCTCCCGTGCACTTTCATCTGTCTCGGCCAGCCTCCAGAAAATTTGCGACCGGCGGCGCCGAGCCTCCGGCGAGTCACGAACCCGCGAGAACGGGAGAGCGGCCGAAGGACGAGAGAGCCGGCAGGAGAGCGGGGAGAGGACCGCGAATGCATTAGGGCCAGGACTCTCTCGGCCGGCTGCACCCCGCGAGACCGGAGCTGCACGGTGTTTTCAGCACAAGCAGTATCGGAACGCGGCGTACATGGAATATTTGGCCATTCTTCTGTCAGGATCGAATAGCTTTTGATATAATTGTCACGTGCACGACCAGCGTCACATACGTTTGATGCTCGACACTGCATCTTGCATAAAGAAAGTTAGATTACTTTCAAGTGTTTGTATTTATAATCGTAAGGTATAGGAACGACACGATTATTTCTTCAATTTTCTTTATATTTTATGACGACTTCTTGCATTTAACGAAATATTGTAACTATGCATTTTTGTCTACCAGTATGGGCTCTCCGCGCTTCGCGCAGTGAGAATGTTGGTAATTCTTGTATGAAGATCGAAGATCCTTTGGTAGTATTAAGATAGAGCGGCGATTCTTTCAGAATCAAGCTGGAATGTTGTAGAATATGGGATGGACACAGGAAAAGTATTTTAATTTTGAGAAGGTTGGTTAAAATTAATATTCCTTAGAAAGAAAGAATTCTATAAAGGGAAAAAGTCTTTTCGAAAAATATCGATTTCAGTCAAGTTCCTCCACGTCAATATTAATTCACCATGTATTTCGCATATTTTTCCCTTAATCTTCCCACCGTGCAATGCACGGAGTAAACGTTCGGCCGCGGGAGACGCGAAAAAGCGCGTGCCGGTGAATCGCACACCCTCGCGCCGACTTTCAACCCTCCTCGCGCGGATAAAGGGGATTTCTGCTCGCCCCGCTGATTAAAAGTTCCGTCTGGCTTATTAAATCCCGCTCTTTCTTCTTGTCAGCGCGTTTCTCGGCGCTCGGGACGTTTGACCCTGGATTTGCAGATCCCATCAATTTGATGGTTATTAAATTTCGTACACGTTATCCGGCGAAAGTTCGCTAACAGGTTCCCGATCGCCTTATTAACTTAATATAAATCTTTACATACCCCGCGGCCACTTTATATCGGCCGCAAATAAAACAAAAATTTAATGAACCTTCCCAGAAGCGAGACTACAGCGAATCTACCGAGCAGAACGCCTCGCGTTATCGATTCTCTCCGACACCGGCGTACAATCGAGACTTCATCTGAACTTCCCAACCCCGTTACAACGAAGGAAGAAGAAGTTCCCACAACCGATCACTTCACACGCGAATAATTTCATCCGTGTTCCGACGCGTATCGGTCGAAATTCAGCCGCACGGCGAATCAAGCCCGTAGTAATTACTACACAGGAAAGAATGGGCAGGCGGAGTAACGCCGTACGGCTCATCGACTCCGTTCCCCCCGCAGTTTGTTGTCTTCGATGGACACAAAGGGCGGCGGTTACACGCGTCGCGTTAATGGCAAGAAACACGGAGGCCTCCGTGGCCCGAAAGAATCGGATTCTTTCGGGATGCCCTGTCGCGTGCGGCGACGACGTCGTTAAGTGGCAACAGAAGCCGCACAAAAGCAACTGGGACAATGGTGTTGGAGGTGACTCCGGGGCTGGAGTGGCCGATGCTCGCGAGATTACTCGCGGCGAAGCAGGAAAAGTACTCCTCGTTGCTCGGGGGGCAGGAGGGTTCCCTGTGTGTTTTCTTTATAGTTCCGACTGGTTACCGTATCGGCGAATAGGGAATTAATATCGAAAATGAGGGAAGATGAAAGCTGACCAATTAAGTCTGCATTCTATCGAGAGCTCCTCTCTCCTGAACAACGTTGAATACTCTTCGTTGCAGGAAAAGAGTCCTCCCCTGTGTGCTTTGTCCATAGTTTTGATTGGTTACGTGTAATGTAACGAATAGCAAATTAATATTGAAAATGAGGAAAGATGAAAGCTGACTAATTAGTTGTCATCGTTGTTCCTCCCCCCCTGAGCGACGAAGAGTACCGTTGCGAGGTGTAGCTGACACAGCGGTCGGGACAGAGACGAAAGAACTGAACCGGCGAGGGAGAGGAGAGCGAAATCCACGCGGGTCGATGGGTTTCGTGCGTACAGAGTCGGGTATTATTTCGTTTCCCGGTGTATCGCTGAATTAACCGTTTTCCAGACGAACACCGGAGCCAGCGGAATGTTTGCGCAGGCAACGGCGCGCGTCGTAACGTTGAAATATTCATTCGTCGACGTAGACGCGTGACTAATACCGTATTGGTGGCCGCGGTTGTTCGAGGTCGACGATTCGACCGGTTCGATTTCCGAGCTGGTACGGCCGGCGATAACGCTGCCAATTACCTGCCTGAAATCAGTCATCGGGAACACGACTGGGCTGGATCGATCGGCGAACGCGTCGAATAAATGCATCGTTCACGAAACGAATGAATTTCAATATTCAATTCTAACTGGAACGATAATCCTGATAAACGGAGAATCGACGAGGAAGTCTTCGAATGTATCTAAGGTACGATCTGATAACTCGAGTTAAGCTCCGATTCCATGGATACCTTAAGAGATCCAGTTTACAGACAATAATGATTCCGTCGATCAAGGTGTACCATCGAAATTATTTAAATCGCTCGAGTCGCTCCGGTTACGTTTAACCGACCAAGAGCAAACAACTCTCGCTCGCTGGGCGAGTAAACAGCCGCGCGTGCCGAAGACGACGCAGTAGCGTGCTCGTGGATAAACGGCAGTCTATTTACAAATAGAGATATCTTAATCGTCCCACGCGGACTGTCATTGGCAATCGATACCGCTCGTTCCCGTCGCGAGTTCCTTCAATCGAATATCCCCACCTGAACTGGAATACACCTCTCGCAGTCATTCTCGCATGTCTAAACCGACTAATTCCTTTCCAGTCACCTAAATACTTCGACTGAAATCGAATCGGATCCCTCTGGATTCCATTTAATGGAATTAATCACTTCGCCGAGCGAACGTCTCGCATCCCGCGTTTCGAACGCGCCTGAACACCGGGGACCAGCCCGACCCCGGAGCGGAGCGTTCAAGGTCGCGAGAAGATTCGCGTGAAACCGCGGCCGGGTAAGAAACTCGTTCCTGCTGCCACAGGCTTTCGCAGCGGAGCCCCTCGAGGCGGGCCGCGATGGTTCCGCGTGAACAAACAAACGTACCCACGAAAATACACGCCGAGCCGGACCCGGCGCACCGTTTTCGACTAAATATTTGAGGGCCGAAGGCGGCTCCTCCCCTAAGATTCTCTAAAATAGTCGTCCACCGATACGCTGGAAGCCGGGACCCAGGTCAGGAGGCTCCGAAGACGTTCGTCGTCGGAAGCTGATTATTTCGGAGCGGTGTATCGATCAGGCCTCGATAGGAAGTTCGAGGGGGCGGGAGGGCAGAAGCGTGTTCAAGGCCGGTTTATAAATCGACCCGGGGCCCCGTGTGTTTCTGCACAGCCGCCGCTGCTGTCGCTGACAAAGCGGAGTAGAGGCGAGCAGCGCCGGCCCCGAGCTTCGAAAATTACGAGGATCGTGGCGTGCGTATACACGCAGCGCGTAGGAGGGAAGGGCGTGCGGCGCGCGAGCGAGAGAGGACGGGAGGAGGAAATCAATGCCACCGTCTGCTGCCGCGGGAGAAGAGAAACTCGTCGTGTGTATCGGTGAGTTTTCGCCGGTGTCTGTTGCGGCGGGCCCCGAGAGCCAGGGTCTACCCAC